AGAAAGAGGGTTGGTGCCCCAGCCTGCATTGGATTTGATCCACTAGGTGAGGGTCAAGCAGACCCCAGTATTGGAATTGGAGGGTTAGAGGGGGAGCAGTGCTGTTTTCTATTTTCCTGGAGACTTGGACTTAATATATAGAGATAAATATATATAAATAAATATATAGATTGGCTGATTGAAAAAAAAAACCTCTGTTTAATTATTACTTTAATTGATTTTTCCTATTGAACCTGGGCAAGCAGTACTTCAATTTCCTATGATAATTGAAGAGGTATATGGAGAGGTGATTAAACTGACTAGTTCTAGTCTTAACTCTTCTGCTTGCTAGCCATGCTCCCAGACATGTTCCTGAACATCTCTGGGCCTGATTTTCCTCAACCTATGAAATAGCAATGATGTTGCAGGATTGTTTTAATATTACCATCGATAAGAATATCCACAATTTATTAAGCACTTCTTTTGAGTCAGGCTCTGTGTGAAGCAGTTTAAATAAATTATTTCATTTAACTGTTTTGAGGAATAAATAAGGCATCATAGTCAAGACAGCTGGCCCAGTGCATGGCACATGGTACTCCACTCACACACACAGAGATCCACTTGCATGCTGACGCACTGTAGAATGTTTACTGTTAAGGGTAAGTGGGTGATTAAGTGTTCTAGAGGATAGGAGAAGGAGTGATCAGGTTGACTGACAGGTGAGAGAGTTGCATCAGGTGGGAGGAAGAAACCAGATAACATGTCAGTGACATGCCACAGGTCACTCTTTTTTTGAGCGCCCTCACCCCTTTATGGAGTAGAATTGGCCTCCAAGACCCAATATGCTTTACTAACACAAGGAAGTCTTTCCATGTGTCACCCAAGGGATATTACACTTACTATGTGTCTGCTGCAAAGCAGGAAATGATAAGCTGGGGTCTGTCCCTCTTACAGAAGTCCCTTTGAGAATGCTGGTGCAGCCCAGCACCTCCCCAGAGGTCTCAGGGTAACCTAGGACTCACACAGCCATGTCTGGCTAACCCACTCTCTTGGTTTGGGTTTCCCTAGAAGCTGAGACTAGGATTTAGTTGCAAGTGGGTTTTTTGAAGATGCCCCCAGGAAGCCTTGTAAGGGAGTGAGCACTGAGACAAGGAAGAAGGAAAGCCAATAAAAGTGTGGTGAGAAGGTTTCAGCTGGGCTCACTCTTTCAGGCAACCGTCTAAGAAACTAGTGGAGGGTTAGGAAGCCAGCGTACTTTTCTTCCTACTCTCCTGCCTCTTTGGTGGAGGTTGCCCCTTCCAGGCCTTGACCGCCCAGCACTCTGCCCTCAGGTGGAGCAATGCAGATGCCTGAGAGAGGAAGCTGCATGTGCATATGGCAACTGTCCAGAAAGCTATGACGACTCTGGGGGTGAGGTGAGGTCAAGAGTGGGGGGAGTCTGGCAGGACTCCAACAACATCTGCTACAACTACCATCCTATGTTGCAGACATTCAAGGTTTTAAATCTACATTTCCTGTTTGCAAATCCTTAAAATAAATTGCCATCTTATCACAAAGTAGAACCTTTCTTTGCTGTTATTAATATTTTATATTCCCTGCCCCAGGTCACTGTAAATATTTTCTCACAGGTGGCCTTTCTGCACCTTCATCTGCGAACGAGCAGGAAATAAAACAGCCTGAGTAGTCTCTATTAAATAAGTGTGGAGACATGAGCAGATCTCTAGAGTATGTATAAACTTTAAAGAAACAGTAATATTACATTCAGAAATGGACACTTTCAGCCCCAGGCAAAGGCATGCATTGAGCCTATGTGCAGGGGTTCCAGCTTGGAATTCTGACCATAGGGATCTGGTCAGATGTTAGTGTGGACTGAAGTAAGAGTGCTTCCACCACATGGACTCACATTCATCCTGCCTTTCAGTGTACATGCTGAGCAACCTATCTTGGTTCTGCTAAATGAGAGAACACTGGAATGTAAATTTCTCTTTTTGATAATTCGCTTCTTAGCACATTGCAATGCCCTGTCTGGGATTCAGAAAATAGCACCCATGGACTCTAAAGGTACTGATTGATCTTTAGAGTGAAAATGTTCTTCTTAGGACCTTCTTCTTCCCAGTGCCCAATCCATACTTCCCAAATCCATTCAGCTTTCTAAGTGCATTTGTCTTAAAAATACTGAGTCTGCTGAAAGTTAAGTTTGAACTTAGAAGCAATACTCCTTTCAGGTGAGGTTTTCCAGTCCTAATTTCAAGATCCTGTCTTGTTTTTGTGACTCCCTGTGTTCTTAAACTGAAGAACATCACGTATGAAGGAGGAAACGTGGGAAGGACGGATCCCACATTCAGTGGGAGAGTGAGGGACACTGGAAATGAGCCGAGGCGCTCGATCAAAGGGCCGAGGATGGGACTGTCCCTTGCAGAGGTCCTGACCCGTGACTTGTGCTAACAGTACTAACAGGACTAATGTTAGCTATGGAAGGCACAGGGAATGTTAAATTCTCCAGGGGACAGTCAAGAATACTTTCCATTTTTTGTCCATCACAAGAGCTGTTCACTAGCAAGAAGCTGGGCTCATGTGACTTTCACGGCCTACGTCTTTCTTTGTATACCTTTTGATGACAAACTACGTAGTCAGGGATAGGAGGTGAGAGAGGAGAAGATAGTTCAATCCAAAAAAGTCTATAACCAGCTCACAAAAAACAGATCTTCTTAGTTCCTTTGCATTATGCTTTGCAGATAACCCTAGATATTTAAGCCATGTGGAGGGTGGCGGGACTAATATTAATGGTGCATCCCTGTCAAGTTTTAAAATAGAATTTTACACTGAGAAGTATAAAATAGGCAAAAGAATCCTTTCTGAGGGGTCCAGATGAGAAAGTAGGCAAATGGGACTCTCAAGGGAACCTGATAGTCTAGAGAATTTATGGAAGTCTGTGATTTATCATAATCCCTTTTGTGCTTTTACTAGAATTTTAAAATTACTCAGAGGTAACTAAGTCACTGAATATTGATATTTTGGTTCTGGGGATATTTTTCTGACTGAATTTGTTTGCAACTGCCTCTCTGGAAAATTTATTAACAGGCTATTCTTACATTTCCCCCCAATCATTCTTCCTTTTCTGAGTTATTATTGACTTTATTTTCCTGAACACAATTTTATATGGTAATATCTGGGCAGAAACAATTTGCTATGGTTCAAGGAACTGATTCTTATGGGCATTTGTCTTAGTAATGTGATTATGGAGTCACTAACTTGATCTTAATAACATTTGCCTCGTATCGTCTATTAGATGCATGAAAGGAAAACTGTGCTTTCTCACTCGGAGGATTACCCTCGTGTATCTCCGTTAGTTGATAATGCCCTGCAAAATTAATGTCCAGGTGATTTTGAGGAGCTATTTGCATTATTTGAAAGTAGTTAGGATTAAATACAAATATTATCACCAATGTCACATGCAGATTGGAAATTACTTTTTTTAGTATACCTTGAGAAACATTTATATCATTGATTCACGGCATTTTATGAACTAGCCACACTGCACCTCATCTGAAGCTGTTCTGACTCCATTGTGGCTGCAGGAGGCAGCACGATACAAAAAGCTTGGAATCTGCAGTCGGAGAGCCGTGGTTAGACTCTGACTGCATCCCTTACTGTGTGTGTGGACCAGGGCCCTGCGACTCGACCACCCCGCCCTCAGTTTCCTCATCTCTTCAAGACAGGCTGACGGGGCAGCATCCCGATTCCAGTTACCTACTGAAATATCATAACTGCATCCTCTCACTAAAAAACTCTGTTCGTTTTCAAAAGATTCCCTCCTTTTTCTCTTAAAACAGATAGTAGTCATATAAAAAGATAATCCTGTCCACAGAAAGACTTGAACAAGGTTACCGCTTGCAGCTTTATTCATAATGTCCCTGAACTAGGATCAACCCAAATGTTCACCTGTAGGACAACGGATAAGGAAATTGTGGCATATTCACGCAATGGAAAATTACTTGTCAGTAAGAGGAAAAAAATTACTGATCCGTGTGACAATGTGGATGAATCTTACAGACATTATGTTGAGCAAAAGAAGTCAGACACCAAAGAGGGCATATTGTCTGACTCTTTTTTTTTTTTTTTAAAGATTTTATTTATTTGACAGAGCACAAGCAGAGGGAGAGAGAAGGAGAAGCAGGTTCCCTACTGAGCAAGGAGCCCGATATGGGACTCGATCCCAGGACCCTGGGATCATGACCTGGGCCGAAGGCAGCCGCTTAACCGACTGAGCCACCCAGGCGTCCCTCTTTTTTTTTTTTTAAGATTTTATTTATTTATTTGAGAGAGAGAGAGAGAGCACGAGCAGAGGGGAGAGGCAGAGGGAGAAGCAGACTCCGCGCTGAGCGGGGAGCCCGACGCTGGGCTCCATCCCAGGACCCTGGGATCACGACGTGAGCCGAAGGCAGACGCTTAACCGGGACTGAGCCACTCAGGTGCTCCTTGTCTGACTCCTTTTACATGAAATCTTAAAACCAGCCAAACTCCAGGCACCTGGGTGGTTCAGTCAGTTAAGCATCTGCCTTCGACTCAGGTCGTGATCCCAGGGTCCTGGGATCAAGTCCCGCATCAGGCTCCCTGCTCACGGGGAGTCTGCTCCTCCCTCTACCCCTCGCTCCTACTCGTGATCTCTCTCTCTCTCTCTCTCTCTCAGATAAATAAATAAAATCTTAAAAAAAAACAAAAATAAAGCCAGCCAAACTCCTTTATGGTGCTAGAAATCAGAACACTGATTATCTCTGATGGGAGGGTCCTGACTGGAAAAGGGTACGCGGGGAATTTCGGGGTGATGGGGATGTTGTAGGCCTTGATTTTGTTGGTGTTGGTGATTACACCGGAGTATACATTTGTCAAAACTTGTCAGACTGTGCAATTGAATCAAGTGCTTTATTTTGTATAAATTATGCTTAAATTCAAAGAAAAGACAACTCACCCATATCAGTTAAATGTTTAATTTTCTAATGACCAATTTTGGGGATTCTCAGGATGCAGTGACCATCTGTACTCTGGGAATTGGGACAGCCTTCGGAGAGTCCATTCTGGACAACACACCCCGCCATGCGACCATCGTTACTAGGGAGAGCAGTGAACTGCTCCGCATCGAGCAGAAGGACTTCAAGGCTCTATGGGAGGTGAGCCCCAAGGCTTCTTTGTCAATTAATGTAGTTGCAGAAAAGAAAGGGAGCTGCCACATGGATAATGGCATTACAGTCAAGCCTTAATGTGTTCTGTTCTGAGCCAGTGGATGGAATTTAATTTTCAAAAATTGTTTTTGAAATGAGTGAGTGAAAAAGCCATTTTGACACAAGACATCTCCCCCCTTTTTTTAATTTAGTGCTTGCTCAATTTTCTGTAGTTTGACATACCTTATAATTATTTCTTGAATGACCATAGAGTGTTTTATGTATTTCCTCCCTCCTATTCCACAGATGTATTCTTAACCAGGGAACAAAATACTTTGACATTTTCTTTTGCATTTTAAAAATCATTGTTGACATGTTCCCTGGTAAAGTGGAATGAATGGGGTTAACATCTGCTTTGGTTAAATGCTTTTAAAAATGATGGGCCCTGTAATAAGGTATGGAAATGAGGGACATAGAGATGTTTGGTTACTTGCCAACCTCAAAATGCATAGGTGGCACAGCAGTGGATGGATGCAACGGGTGCTGGTGGCTTTTGCATTTACCGCTGCTTACCAGTGCCCCTTAGGGTACTGCACTCATTTACAAGAAGTAGGGGGAATGAATCATCTTATATGCAGTAATGGCAAGTGGAGCACTTAGAAAGGCCCAGCTAAGCCTTGCATCTTTCACACTCATTCCTTTTCAGTTCTGCAAGCTTCTGATTTTAACCTGTGGTTGTTCCTTATCTTTGTCCTTGGCTCAGTATGTCCAAGTGTTAACCCATCGAGCTGGCAGGCTTTGCAACTTGTCCCAGTGTGGCTAAGATTTTAAACTTGATCTAAAAAGAATTTTATGTAATCAAATAGTTTCCTCCAGAGCCAAACAAATGACAGATGCATTAAGGGAGCAAACCTGCAGGTGAATGAGTGATGCTTTGCCTTAAAAGTCCTGCAAAGCCTTGGAAGGCCTTGGTGGTGAAACCTGTTACTTTTATTCTTGGCAGTAGTGAATAAATTGCGGGGTTGCTTGTTTGAAATGTTCCTCTTAGAAAATATTAAAGAACTCCAACTGCTCTGTAAAGTTCAGAGACAAAAGCTAGTTTTAGGAAGGCAAAGCCAAAGTAGGTTTGCATGAGGTGTGTGCGGAGAGGTTTTCTGTCAATTAAAAGGGACCAAGCTTGAGGCAAATAAGTCTTTTTTTTTTTTTTTTGATCTTTCATGTTTAAAAGGTAAACTGAAAAAGTCTTTTCCAAAAAAGAAAATTTGGAAAACTGGTTTAAGAACAAAAATCATTTCCACCTGTGATGTATGTCATTATAACTGCTTTTGTCTGTTATGACTTTTTCAAGTTGCTCATTGAGGATGGTTTGTGGAAATATTTAAAGTTTTATTTTAATTAGGAGCCCTCAGTACTATGAAGGAAGTTCCTGAGAAGTTGCTACCTGTGAACATTTTTAAAAAATTTGTTATTAGAAAAATTGTCAAACATACAGAAAATCCAAAAGGATAATACAATGAACACCCAAACATCCCCACTTACTTTGGCAGTTGCTAACATATAGCCATATTTGTTTCATCTTTGGTTTTTTTTTTTGCTGAACCACTTCAAGGTCAACGACAGACATTATGACATTTCATCGTAAATATTCAGCATAATCTCCAAAAAGTTAGAATACCCTGCTACCTACCCATAATACCATTATTACACTTAACAAAACTAAAGATAATACCCTAATATCTAATACCGAGTCCACAGTTCCAACTTCCCCATAAATACCCATAAATAAATAAATATTTATTCAATAACTATCTTTTAAATCTGTTTTATTTCAAACCAGGTTCAAATAAAGAATCACGTATTACATTTGGTTGTTATAGCTCAGTCAGTCTGTCTCTCTCTATATATCCCTCCTTCCCTCTCTCTCTCTCCCTCCCTCCCTCCTTACCCCTCTCTGTCTCTCTCTTTCTCCCCATGACATTGACTTGTTAAAAAGGCCAGGTCAGTTTCTCCCAAATTCAAGATTTGTTTGATTGTTTTCTCATGGTATCTTTTTGTACCCCTACCCCAGGGCTTCCTATAAATGGAAGTTAAAGCTAAAAGCTTGATGAGATCAAATCAAACATTTTTTGGCAAGAAAAGGTCAGAGGTGATACTGAGTACATCAGGAGGCTCATCACATCTGGATGCTTTAGTTTGATTAGTGTGATCCTGTCGTTTGATTGCATTTGAGTACATTTTAGGGCTCTTTTCCACAGATATTTCCCTTAAAGGAAAATTACTAAATGGGGGTATTGATATTGAGGGTGGTCTTTGGTATCCCAAACCTTGTCATGTGGTTCTCCAGCTTGGTGGGTCCAACCCTTCATCTGTGACCTCAGAGCAGACTTCTGATCTCCCCTGTCAGTGACTTAAGTGAGCTGAAAAGAAGGAACAGAGTTTTTGTCTGACTTCTTATTTTACAGGTGGAGGACTGAACCTCACGTGAGTAAGAGATTAGTCAGATACTTCATTTTATTTGCCTGTTCATGGAACTAAGTACAGAGTGCAAACTACATGCTCAGTCAACATTTTAACTGGCTAAAATGAAAATGCAAGAAACTCCATTATCTAGCAATCTCTGTGAGTCAGAACTTTATTAATGGGCACAATTGTGCACCTACACTACGTGATAATCCTAAGACCTCGTAAAATTCTAAATTACCTTCTAAATAAAAAAGATTGACTCCAGTTTATTCTACCATTCGTTTTTCAACAAATATTCATTGAGTATCTCCTGTGTGTCAGGTGTGGATGTAGCAGCAAATAAGTTTGGCCGAGCTCCTGCTCTCCAGCAAAGGCTTCTGTTCTACTTGGAGAATACAGAAAATAACCTACCAAGTCATAATATTATTTCAGAGTATAATATATCATTATCATTAAATAGATTTTATTTCTATTTGAATGAGTGGTCCCTTGATGACATATATAACACTGATCTGCTAGCAAAATATCTGATGTTCAGAATACCTGTTCCTTGATTATGTCAGATAATAGAGTTTATGACTCAGCCATTTATTACACTAGTAAATAATACTCATTAGCAAAATTGAAATTCAAGCTCGCACTGTCCCCTGAAACCTAAGTTAGATCTGCCTGCCAAACATTAGAAGGAAAGGATTATGTCAGGAAAGGCTCAGGTAGGAGCCTTACTGAACTGTGAGATAGTGGGAAGAAAGCAGCAGAAAGGTAAGCTGGATAATGCCTCTCTTGTTGGCAAGGTAAGGAGCTCAGTGTTGGGCTATAGGTTAGAAATAGTAAAAATTAGATAACCTGAATCGAGCATCTAAATTTGCATGTTCATCTCATTTGACTACTTACTTTTGAAGAATGTTACGGTGGGTCCATTGTATATCAAGCACCCTCTTGTTTAGCTTTGTCTCCTTATCTGTGCCCTGTTGTCACTTAAAGGGGCCGGAAGATAAAACACGAGGGCCGGAATTCTGAGTTACTTCTTCTAACTCTAAAAATTAAGATCTGTAGCCACTGTCAGGTAGCATAGTCTAAAAGTAGCTCTTTAATAGGCTGAGCAAATAGTCTATTTTAAATCTTCCACTTGGGACTTTAATGGCAACACAAAGCTAGGGAATCCTGCTTCCTTTCCTGACCAAAGGCAAGTTTCATCGGCTCTCTGCAGGAAGAGAACATACTCAGAGAACTACATGTGATATTTTGAAATCCTATTCAATTTCATCCCAGATACCTCTTGCTTTATATTGTCTATTATGTTGTAAGTTAAATTGGTAGCACCCAGTGTATTTAAAAAAGTTATTCCCATAAATGTAACCAGAAGCATTATATATAGCCTCTACAAATACATCAGAGAAAGTATTCCCCAAGATGTAACTGAGGTAGCAGCTTTGTTTCAGTTGCTAATTTATGGTCAGATTTAAGAGCATTGGGTTGCTCCATCTTAAAACAAAGTCATGTTTTCTTAACATAAGTGAATTATGGTAAATTTATTCAGAGTTGGTCAATAATGCATCCCCCTTCTTACGCCTCTGTGGTATTAAAACTTAATAAAATATATGAACCAGGGTATAAAACATCTCATTTTTCAGTAGCATTTGGGGGATGGAGAGAGAAAGAAGAGGAGAGGAGACAGGAGATAGTTCTGTTTCTGAATTTCATTTGGAAGAAAATGGATTGAAAAGTCTTGGAATACCATGTTTAGTTTTTTTTTTTAATTCTTTTTTTTTTTTTTAAAGATTTTTATTTAGTTAGTTAGTTATTTGACAGAGAAAGAGAGAGCACAAGCAGGGGGAGAGACAGAGGGAGAAGCAGGGAGCCTAACGTGGAACTCCATCCCAGGACCCTGGGATCATGACCTGAGCCGAAGGCAGACACTTAACTGACTGAGCCACCCAGGCGCCCCCACCATGTTTGGTTCTTGAGACAGACATAAGTTCAACTCTTTGGCACTGGGTGCATTGCATACCCTCAGTGAGAAAGTTAAATGGCCGAGTAGTGAAAGGTAGGCTTGCGAGTTTTAAGCCAGTTATTAATATTTGATCCAAGATTGTGGGTATTTATGACTGCTGGTGGCTCTTGGACTAAATAAAGAACTGATTTACTGTCCAAATCCGTGAATTTCTTCACAGCACATGTAGGATAAGGTTTCCAGTAGTTACAAATGACTACAACAAGGGTTTTTTTTGCTTTTCTTGTTGACTTTCTATCTAACTCGTGTCTGTATGAAGATGCTTTCAGCTTTGCAGCATCTTTTGACATCTGTACATCGACTATTCCAAATACATGAAATTGAATGATGAGGTGAGTCCAGTGTATTCAGAGAAGTAGATTCAAGAGGCACTCTCGATCAAATTCGTAAGAGACACTACTAAGAGGTCCTTGAAATAGTGGTCTACCATCTGCTTAGCTGTGTTTCAATTGCATGAACATCATCTGGCCAAAAGCTTTCCTTCCTTGTGAGCCATGTTTGAGCATGTTCAAAATAATAATACGTATTTATG